GTGTAACTTCCTGGTGTGATGCATCTTCCTGTTCTATCTCAAACAATATGATTCTAAATATTTCTTTCTCTAAAAATTGGACCAATGTTGGTGAGTTTGAAGAAAGTCTTAGGCTGAGTTCCATTTCCCTCACTTACCCCTTCTCCTACTCTGACCCATTAGCCCTCGAAACTGAAGCTAAAGGCCTGAAAATAATGACTTAAGTCACCCAAAATGATTCTAAAGCACCCATATTACCCTTTTGTTTTGAAGTGTATGCCCTTTGAAAGCAAGCCCTTTTACTAAGCCCATCACCTTTGTTGATTTGAGTATGGGTGTGACTACAAAGCCACTTATGAAACCTTGATTTATCCACTTCTTGTATGATTGCCTCAGTAACCACTCCCAGAAGTTGGCTAATCTCTCCAAATATTGCAGATATTTTTAATGGCATTCAGAATACGTTTTAAGGGTCCATTGGCATTCGCAGGCCAATGTCAGGGCATTGAGATGACAAGCCTTATTATCATGCCTTGTGCTATCTTCCAGTTGCTACATGTATAGATTACTAAGTAAAGGTAAGGAGCCCTACGGGACACTGCATGTAAGGAGCATAAAACAAGGTATGCCCTCATAACTCTGCAGATAAATAGCAGTGTTTAAACCACAGAGGAGTCAACCCTCTAATATCCACCAAATGTTCTAGTTTCCATAGCAACACATGGTGTCAAATGTAGCCATAAAACCAATTCAAATCAGAAAGGCAGCTACTACTGTTAGAAAATAAGTAAAAAAATGTTTCATCCAGTGATGCCATGAAGCCAAGTAAGGGCGTTGTGTTTACTAGATAACTCAAGTTAGTCTATTCACGGTTGATATGTCACTTATTCTCCCATTTATGATTTTAAAATAGCTTCCTGAATGGTTTGTTTGTAACCTTAATGCAATTGTTGATTTAATAAGAAAGCACAGGGCTGTATAGTGTAAATATATATAGCCTCAGCCTATATCTATATCTTGCAGCCACAGTGGCAAAGATTTCCATTTGGAGTGGTCTGTTGCATAAGGGCTGAATCTCAGGGGGTCCTGTGATCAGAAACATGCCATACACCTGCTGTCTTCAAAGCATCACCTGGTATCCAGCTTGAAACTGCGAGTTCTACTTCTCAAAATAAAGAGAAAAAATAGGACCCAACTAGGAATTCTTTGGGGACACAATATGTGAAAGGAATATTGTTTACTTTTTTACTCTTCTCCTTTTATACAAAAACTAATCTGAAATCAACAAGGATTTCACCGAATTCACATTTACCCTCTTTTATGAGTGGTGGTCAAGCAAAAGGAAGGTTTGGAGCAACGTTGCCTGGCCTTTCCAAATGGTCACCATCACTGGGAAACTGAAGACCGGCTTCTTCAATCAAAGAAAGCAAACAAAGAGATCCGGACTAAATGTCCCTCTACCAATGACTGGTCAGAAGAGCTGTTTGCTTTTCATGAACTGAAAACTCAAGCAATGCACTCCACACAGGGAGTCATTGCCTTTAATCATTCTGAAATTGCACAGCAGTAGCTGCCAGCAGAAATCAGCTCTTGTAGCTTTTAAGTACACTTCTGATTGCTACAGTCCCGAATGACCAGCAACATTCTTGAATATCTAAAGATGCATAGTGAATCTTAATCAGTGTTGTGTTACCTAGGTAACGGCAGCACTCTACTGTGTTTTTTTACAACACAAATAATAATCCTCTAATAGTTCCATCAAGTTACTTCTGCTGTCCAGAAAGACAATGAACCCAACAAACATATAACATATGTTGAAGCATTCACCAATACAAATCTTTTTGAATTGGTAGAAAATAAATAACAATTATTACAGTTGTTATTACAGTTATTATCATGAGCTGGCGACTCCTCACAGCTATTTCTTTCCATTGCTTCTTTACACATCGAGCTAAATACCGTCTATAGCAGACAACTGTATGATCTTTCTTTGAATACAACAGCGAGACTGACAAAAGCAAGTGTATTGTGTTAGAGTCAAGCCACAGCATGTAAGGAACAGTTCTCAAAGAAAAAACTTGCACGGATCTCAAAGTACATTTACAGGAACACTAATGCTAATACCGGGTGCTACTTTTATTGCCCCCGCAGCATGGCAAGCCTCTTTCTATACAAGTAACTATTTAAAGTAGCAGAATTGCAATTACAGATATCTCCAATGTTTATTTGTGTTGTCATAATCACAGTAGGATATCTGAAAAAAAAAGAAAAAGTCAACACTTTCTAAAACTAAAAATACAAACATTATTCTAACACTATTCAGCTGCCCCAAAAAAAAAAAAAAGTCACCACCTGGACTTAGCCAAGCAAATATGAATGAGGTTATTCTGATGAGTCCAGATTGACTCAGTTCCAGAGTGATGGGCGCTTCAGGGTAAGTAGAGAGGCTGATGAAGTGTAGGGGTAGTGCTATGCATTGGGGTTGATGTAATTGCTTAGGTCTAGGTTCAGGATGTACCCAAAGAATGACTCCCCGAATATTCTGAATGACTTTAGCAATACCTGATGACACCAGCATATTCCAAGATGACACCGCCAGGATTTATCAGGTTCAAATAGTGAAAGAGTGGTTTAGCAAGCACTAGACATCGTTTTAACAAATGGATTGGCCACTAAAGATTCCAGACATTAACCCCATTGAGTATGTTTGAGATGTGCTGGAGAAGTATTTGCACTAATCAGTCAGACTTTTTGATTATGGTTAATGCAACACTGAATGGACATAAATCAAGAGTATTTTGGTCAAGCAGAGTGCAATGTATTTCCTATTACTTTCAAATCAATCATATCATGTTTCTTTATTGTGTTTCTGAATTATATCTAAAGTTACTTCAGGAATTTTAACTGTCGCAGACTTGTTATGACTAAAATGTCTTTCTTTGTGTTTAATGGCATGACTAATCCTTATGTTTGGACCCCATGTGAGTCCACTAATCCAGCTAATTCTCATTTTTCAGGACTGGACCAGGTTCCCCTCTGAATTGCCTCATTGCCTCAGAGGTAAAATGGGTTGCAAACTGTGTTTTATGTTGGCACAGCACTGAAATAATGGTTAATTCATTTTACCCAAAGCTCATTGAGCATGGATGTGGCACCATGTCAGGCTCATGAGATCTCCTCCTGCCAATAAGAGTGAAAGATCCTTGGGTGTCCAGCAGGGTGATGAATGGTGGCCGTTTGTTTCATAGAGGCCTGGGAAAAGCTCTGCATCCCAATGTCTGCTGCCAGGAGCTTTCCTTTGTCTCCCCGACAGGCCTTCAGAATGGGCCACAATGAGCGGAGCAAGGTTACAGCCAAGCAACGGACAAGGACGACAGAAAAAAAAGTACTCTGTGTTCATATGCACTGCCAGTTCACAGGGAGATGCAAAGAAAAGACCGGAAAACTTTTGGATGTTGTTTGGAGACTTTTTTGAGCAAAGGAACATACTGTAAATTGGAATCTAGTCTCCAAGCAGGTGAGCAAATATGAAACGCCTCCTCAAAATTATATTCTTTCTAACAATAGATCCACAAATGCAATGCCTGAAAGAGTTTTGTACCATGTGTACACTAAGTGTTCCCTTTCTTACAAAGAAGCACCATGGGCATTGAACAGTGAAGCATACAATCCCATCGGGTACACCAATAAGACTATTATGGTCATTGCTCCTGGGGAAACTGTAAGCAAAGCTAACAATGTGTTTCCCAGACAGCATTTGCGCCTCTAGCTCTGCACTGCATGCTTCCCTGGCTTCTGAGGAAATTCTGGAGGAAAGCCAGGGGATTACTCAGAAAACTAAATGCAGTTTTTGCTTTCGAACCATGAAGAAAGCTTTACTGGGGAGTTTTCCAGATGGAGGCCATTTTTTGGGAGCATACGCTCTTAGAGACTGAAATAATGGGGTGATTTTTTACAGCTTTCTCTTAGTTTAGCAAAGTAAATTCGGAATACTCACAGGCAAACTGCAGGAGGGCATCTCGACTCAGGATGGTGCCGATGCTGTTTTCAGCTCTGCATTGGTACTTTCCATAATCAAAGGTCTCGCTGGCATTGTGTATTATTAAGTTCCCGTCAATCAAACTGTAGCGGAAATCTCCTTCTGCATCCAGGTTGGTTCCATTGATCAGCCAACTGTGAATTACATTGTTTTATTAGTATTTATACTTAATATCTAGATTTTTCACATACTAATGGGGATGTAAATCAGTGTCTCTTTATTACATTTGCAAAGAATCTTCACTTGTAACTGGAGTCTTGTCTAATAAATGTCTTCCACCATGTTTCTGATTATAGAATTATGTGGAAGTCTATCCCACCTTTATGAAGACACGGTTACATTCGTTTAAAGTAGTTAAAGCTATTGGCATGTAACAAGATCTCCCATGATGCTTCTGTGCTTTTACCACATACTGTATACAACTATTTCTGTAGTGTTCATGACATCGGCCAAATGTGGAAACTAAAATGAGGTGTTCCAGCCATTTCTTTCTTGGCAGTAGCTGAATAATTTAAAATAAAAGGTGATTAATAGGTGGAGCTGAAACTAAGAGCATGAAACTGAAAACTAGGAGCAGCTACTCGGCTGTGATCAATGACAGCTAATGGCGCGCAGTTCTAAAGTTAGTTATAATAACTAAAACAAATGCATAATTCATCATGTATTCTTATAGTAACTATGCTGGTTAAGCAAGTGATATGAATTAAAAAGGAAACCCTTTAGACCCAATAACAGGGTGTAATTGTCTGTGGAAAAAAACTCTGAAAAACTTGTTTCAGTCAAATATGTTTCATGATTGGAGCTTGGCTTTGACGCATCATTAAACTCAGAGTATGTTTTGAGAATTCGACCCCTAACTAAGCTTTTATTATTATTATTATTATTACTACATTTATATTACATTACATTTATACATGTAGCAGATGCTTTTATCCAAAGCAACTTAGATTTGAAAGAATGAACACGTTTTTGTCAGTTCTTGCTTTCCCTGGGATTTGAACCCCTTTGACCTTTGCTTGTTAGCGCAATGCTTTACAAACTGAGCCACAGCAAAGAATTATTATAATAATAATAATATTATTATAATTAAAGAACTTAGAATATCTATATTTACATTAACTAAATGCATTTCCGAATGTATTATGGAAAAAATATTGCTTGTTTTTTTTCATGATAACTTTTAGAAGTCTTTTTTTTTTGTGGCAATGCTTAACATAATTTTTTAGGACAACCTCCAAACCCCCTTTGAACTATTACAATTACATTTCACAATAAAAAATACAATTCAGAGTCATTATTTTACTGCTGAAATCTAAAAAAAAAATAGATAAAACAATTAAGTTTAAAAAAATAGTTTAAACAATTGTTCCATTGTAATTTTTTCATGCCACAACTTTGATAAACACAAGCCCAAAAAAACACAACACAGGTCTTGTACTTTGAAAGGCTATCCCTTCTTTTCACCACTAGGTGACGCTTTTTGGACGATTTATAAAATGAAACTGAAAGATGATTGTGCATTTTGTCACATTTACCTTTTTTAAATCACGTGTCATCACTCTTGTAAAGTTCATTTAAAAACAAAAAAAAAAAATCTAAACTACTAACCTTTTTGCAGCCTACACATTATATCTGAATTAAAATTAAACAATAGGTAGGTTGCATCATTCTTACTTAATAATACAACCAGTGTGACCTGCACACACAACGGTGCAAGGTGTTAACCCAGGTGCATTTTTGTATGCGTGTTTGTATGTACATATTTGTTTATTTAGCTTGTTGGTTATAATTCGTTCTATAGGACATTTAGGAAGCAAAACATTCTTTTGGCGTTTTTCTGATGGGATCCAGGGGGTCAACCTTTATTCTGTCCAGAGGATAGTTGTTTAATCTAGACATAATCTTTATCATAAAAAAACAAACAGAGGAAATCTATTTGACACTTGATTATTAAAATATTTAAAATATATGATTAGTAATGAATTAAAATGATATATTATATAAATCCACAAGAAATAGGTTTTATGCAACTATTTACATAAAAATGCTACAAAGTCATGTTTGTGTCTTTGCTTAGCCTCCCTCGGTTCTCTGCAGGAAATAGTTCTCCACTGCTGCCCAGAGCTCTCTTCTAAGCTTGCCTTTCTCCTCTGCTCGGGCAATGCTTGAATACTTTAGAGGATTTTCACCACCTACAGGTATCTGAAGGTTTTTCATCCCAGTGGGAATATTCACATAACCGATCTCTATAGATTTGCCCATTTGTCCACTTACAAAAATGATGGATATATTAGAAAAAATGGCACCCAAGGCATCAGAATTTCATAAATATTAGCATGTATTTTCAAATAATCATAGCTCTGGATTCATATGAGGTTTGAAGTTAAATAGAGTTGGTCTGATATAAAGTTTGCAGTTCAAGGAGATTTTGGTCCTTGAAATATTCGTGGCAAAACCAAAAACATTTCTTGGTTTTCCTCAAAGTATGTTTATACTGTGAGTACAGTTTAGTGAGTAATAGGATGATTCTAAACTGTTTTATCAGGTCTGATTAGGAATCCGCTGAGAGACGTCTAACATCGGCACCATTAAGCATTAGTCTAATAGAAATGCCACTCACACGGGATAATAAGGGTTCAAAGTAAAGCTCAGGAGAAATGAAATATCATTTACATTCTATTTCATAAATCCTCATCCATGTTAATGAAAAGAGTAAACCGTACCTGTAGGTCGGAACAGGGTTTCCTCTGGCTTCACAACTCATTATCACTTTCTTATCATCGGAATCCAGGGAGAAGATGGCATCGTCAGGCTCCTGGATGAACACTGGACCAAACTCCTCACTCTCTGCATCACACAGAAGAAGAAAATAGGATAAAACAAAAGGAGTTAGAAAAACTCCAATGTGTTCTGATTGAATATTTGCATACAAAACATTTTTCATATTAGAACTGCATCTAGCTACAGTAAAGTAGACAATTAATTATATAAAAAAACATTTCATCATTTCATTATTTCATTTAAAAAAAGGTACATTATTAATTGCAATTATGATATTTTTGATTAAGCATCTTATGTAAAATACATTTGAATATTGCACTTTGTAAACAAAAGGTTATAGTTAAAGTTCTTTTTTTCCTTTTTTTTCTCGAATTCCTCTAGGAGAGAGAAAGAGAGAGAGAGAAAAAAACACATCACACCATGTTGTTCCAACAAAGAATCAGAGTTCAGAATCTTGTGCAGTAATGATAAATATGTGCAATGTTTTCATAAAAAGGTTACAAAAAAGAAACAGAATTAAAAGGGGGGAATTAAAAAATGGAAGAATAATTCCTGAACGTATTGAAGTGTACATTGTTTACATTTCACTATTGAAAATATTGGTGAAACTATTATGATTTTATCATATTTATTCAAATCACACCTTTATTTGTCACAGAGAAAGAAACAGAGAAATAGGTGTACATTAGGTAAGGTAATTCAAAAAGAGCCTTTTCCGCACTGTCCTTCAAGACATTGCAAGCACATATAGACATAATGCAAGAAAAGTATGCAGGATAGGTAGGATCAAGGAAAGTGGTAGGACAGCTGCAGTCCTCAGCCAACCTTTTCCTGCTGCCATTAACGGCGCTGTACTCATGGCCTGTTCAGATTACAGCGGTTGAGAGCGGTTTTGAAAGAAAGCGGGGAATGCAGAGAGTCTCCTTATCATGCCCTCGCAGGGGAATATATTTATGGGGGAATAAAAATTGCATATTTGGAATGTTTATTTCATCTTAAGTATGATATACTGTGCTCCGTTTTAGCATTTGTTCACACGTGCCTAAAACCTTTGCACAGTACTGTATGCACACATTGTTTTCTTCATGCATATTGTCCAATAAGCAGTGCTTCAATGCAACAATTCAATACTAATTCAATTGAGCCATCACCACTGACCGATTAAACAATCCAACCATTTGCTCAGCCATTGACTTTTAATAAATAGCCTCAGCTCCAAACTGAGATCAAAATGAATCCACAAATCCCACTGTAAATCCCCACAAACCCCACTTTCAAATCAGCCATGCAGGGAAATGAATTTGGATATGTGATCCAAATATAGGCTATGTGTGTCAAATGCAGAATGGAGATTTTTACAATTCAAAAGAGTTTGAGCTTACTCCAGACGCAGCACACCGTCGAGTCTCGGAATACTGTTAACTGCCTCATATATTCAACCCCCAGGGTGAACTGGATGACACATCTCAGCGGAATAACGGAGAGTGCCTCCAATTAGAAAACACTCAAGGGATCTGCACCACCAGTGATCAGTGACTTCATGTCGTACAATGGGACCAATCTAATATTGCATGCATTTCCAATTACTTAGGGATATGTAGAATGTGATTATTTATTCAGATTCATTTTATTTTTAATCTATCCTTTCAATAAACTTTTATTAACTAGTTGTCCATGAAGTGTATGTATGAAGTCCATGAATTATAAATATGGCTTACCAATTCTGGAGCATGGGTTATACCATTATCACATACAAAAATTATCTATGGAACCACATAATCATTTTAGAAAAATGTGAAATTTTCGAAAAAAAAAAAAAAAAGGTGAATAAACTCAGATTTTATCGATTAGCATGAAGTGTGCCTCTCGACCAAAACTGCCTCTTCAGATATGGAGATAATCTATATTTTTAGAACCATACTAAGTCAAAGTGAAAATGGGGTCGTCTACAGTGAAATATTGAATAATCGGTCATGGATAAGAATTTCATAAAAAGGAGATCGCAAATGGGACATGGATGGGAATTCCAGAATAACAATGACCCAAAAATGTTAGCCGAGTGGCAAAAAAAAAAACAAACAAAAAAAAAACTTTAAATGCTATTGTTCTATACAATCTCCAATAGGAAATCAGTCATGGGAGCTAAAGGTTCAAGTTGCAACATGTCAACCCCAGCATCAATGCACTTGCTTACTGCAGGAAATTTTTCTTGTACAGGGACATAGTTCAATGAGAGAGGGAGGCAGAGAGAGAGAGAGAGAGAGAGAGAGAGAGAGAGATAGATAGAGAGAGAGAGCAATTGAAGGACCTGTGCGTACAACGTTCACACATAACCTAGTCATTTGGAACAGCGTGAGAGTGAGCTATCTAAGCTCTAGCTGTAATATTTATGCTCTTTGCTGCATGCATAATAAATCCCAGTGTATACATGCTGCTGCATTGTCACCGTCCTGTGCAGCACATGTTTTTGCCAGGGATCATCAAACTAGAATATCTCTAGTAAGTGTTACCAGTTTATAGGAGTTTAAAAAAACTAAAACAAGTTTTAATAGACAAATATTACATTATGACATTGTACAAGCCACTTTGAGTGGAATAAAATACATTAGCAGGAAGTGACCATACATCAATTGTTCTATTTATGCTCATGACCTCAGAGCAGGTCTTGATTGCAACTACAGGAAAAAAAGAATAATCACAAAATTACAAGTAAATTTGGTCACTTTCTCCACATTAAAAAATAAAATGTTTATTTTGGGATACCATTTAAATAAGCTAAAAAAGCTAGTTTTGGCTTTAACACAACAACAAAACACCTTCAGTACTTTAAACTAATTTTAAGTGCTTGATAAGTGTTTGCTTCAAATGAATTCATCAAAAATACATTAATGCTTTTTTTATTATATTTTTTAAACTTTATTTAAGCAACTGGTAACGTCCTGTTGTGATGTTACTTCCTGTTCTTTCTCTATGAATAGAATTCAATTGACCGACAATATGATTTTTTTTTCTTCACTCATGATACAACATTAATTTATTAATTAAATAATTAACCATGACAAAAATTTCATCACTATGACAATACAACAAGATAACATTTTATTACTTTTGAAAATGTATATATATTTACCAAAAAAAAATCACATATGAATTGCAAAGATGTAATCAATGGAAAAAAAAACGATGGCATACTCAATAACAAAAAAAAATAAAAAATCCCTCAAGATGCTCCAAAAGAAAGGCTCGGGAAGACCAAAATAATTTCAGGTTTTT